ATAAATGATTCAAAATCATGGATTTGGATAAAACATTTGAAATAATGCAAGGCGAAAACGACAGTATTAAATCTGGTAAGTAATAATAAATGATTTTCTAAATAATTCTTTGTGAATTACAAATAGGTATATTTCTTATTTTTACTCTTATTTTGTATGTCATAACTACAACAATTTTTTTGATTGTAGAATTATTCTTTTTGATTGCCAAGTTTCTGAAGGATAGTCAATTTAAAAATGCTTTTGAAGTAAGATATTTACATGAGTATTTTTAATTTTTTAATCTACTAACAATTAGATTGCTATGTATGTAAAACACTCATAATTTAAACATCATTTAATTTATAGCATTAAAGGTTTAACATTAACTCTCTTTTTTTGGTAATTAAATCTATTAATTTGATTTGTTTTTTTTTTTTATTATTCATAGGCACTTAAATCGGATTTGAATGAATCAAATGTAAGATATATTTTTGTACAATTACCTATAATTAAATTTTATTTTTAGTAAAACAATATTTTATTTTTAGATCCTACCAACACGTATTGATTTTTTAGGAGAAGAAAACCAGCAGACATTTGATGAATTGGTATAATATATTTCTATATTATTTTGTAATTTTTCATACAATATAAAAAACCTTACAATAACAATTTTATAGGAAAAAATGTGCTTCACCAGCAGTGTTGCAAAAAAAAACTTAATAATTAAAGTTTATAAGGTTCTTAAAATAGAAATACTTTTAATAAGTATTGTAAATGTTTTTAAAAATTCATGAATTTCATTCAATATAGTTTATATAATCATTTAATTTTTCATTATACACAGGCAGACATTATACACACTATATACAGTGGCGGCTTGTGGATTTTTCATTAAGTAGTGCACAATCCAAAAAAAATATAACCAATATTATATATTATATAATATATACAGTGTGTTCACCGATTTAGGGAACACTGAATTTCTCTGCCGGATTTGTTTGGAATAAATAGATTTTTTTTACAAGCTGTTGGTATATGAATACACATTTTTCGATTCATTTCAAAATTTTYTGAGAATGTGGTCTGCGAATGCAAAGTTAAAACTTTTTTTTTTAATAACAACACCGATTTTAACACCAAATTTGGATAAGCCCATTTTTTAAAAAGTAATTTGCATGTATCAACTATGGCTCTAAGTTGAATATTGACTGAATAAGAGCCATGTCAATTTTATTAAATAATACATTTTTAAAATTACTTTTAAACATTATAATTCTTATTGGTTACTTTTTGAATATTTGTGGGATTTTTTTTTTASAAATGGTATAAACAAGACTTACATAATATGGATACAAAATTATTTACTAAAAATGGATTAGTTACAACTGGTAYAAGTGAACAATAGTTATTTTATATTTACACAATAAATTAGATAAATTGTTCAAAGTTTGCTTTGTGATTGTCGAAGCATAATTGAAAACACTGTAGACATCCTCTATTGGTTGCTGACATTATTTGGTTTTCGGTAAGGTTATTAAATGCAACCACAATTTTATTTTTTAAATCTGCTAGATTTACTGGTGGATCTGTGTAGACTATTGTTTTAAAATAAAAAAATATCAAGTGGAGTAATATCTAAAGATCTTGCTGGCAATTTAATGGGACGATAAGTGCCAAACTATTTTCCCTCATATACCCGATTTAAATGATCTCTAATAATATGAACATTATGAGCAGGAGCTCCGTGCTGTAAATAGAGAGCAAACTTTGAATAATTTATTTAATTTATTGTGCAATTATAAAATAACTATTGTTCACTTGTACCAGTTGTAACTAGTCCATTTTTAGTAAATAATGTTGTATCCATATTATGACGTTAGTCTTGTTTATAGCATTTTTAAAAAAAAAATACGTACAAATATTTAAAAAGTAACCAATAAGAATTAATTATAAATGATTTTATAAATGTATAAAAATGTATTATTTAATAAAATTGACATGGCTCTTATTCAGTCAATATTGATCTTAGAGCCATAGTTAATGCATGAAAATTACTTTAAAAAAATGGGCTTATCCGAATGTGGTGTTGCTATTTAAAAAAAAAGTTTTTACCGCGCATTCACAGACCAAATTCTCAATAATTTTTGAAATGTATTTAAAAATGTGTATTCATATACCACCATCTTGTAAAAAAAAAATCTATTTATTCCAAACAAATCGGGCCGAGAAATTCAGTGTTTCCTAAATCGGTGAACACACTGTATATAATAAATTGTATTAAATAGTTGTTTACAAATTTTAGTTATTTACCAATTATCTTTTATTTTGTTACACGATTGTTGTTTTGAATTTCTGGTAATGATCGAGCAACATAATCAGCAATCAGAATATAATAAACAAAATGTGAGTAAAGATAAATTATAATGCTGAATATGCCGATGCCGACGCGCAACGSYGCGAAAACGTCAAAAATAATTTGCTGAATACAAATTATTTGGTTATGTGCATAGAACGAATGTCCCAAAATAATTTTCACGATTTTAATCATATTATATTTAACTATAATCAATTTTTTGTCAGATATTTTTGTTAAACTCTGTTTAATACAATTAATAAGTTTTATGAATATGATTGCTTATGAAATATGTATGTCCATATTCATCCCAATTAGATCCCATTTGGTATTAAATGTATATCAAACAGTTGTATGAACACCAATCACAGTCATATAGGTTTTTTTATAACAAACATTTTATAATTAGAAAGTAAAAGTATTTGTTATGCTATTTTTTTTAGGAAAGAAAATATAATCATATTAAATCTGATCATTTATTAGACATTTGTAAACGCATCAGATTATTAAGCAACTATGAAAAATCTTCAGTTCCTGTGGTTTTCTCATTACTCGGAAAAGGGAGCTTTTCACTTGTTAATACACAAAGTACATTTTTCATAAATTATGTTATTTGAATAAGTTTTTAAAATACTTTTTTGTGTTTTAGAAAAACGTAAATACCTATCACTAGCTGATTGTATTACACGTCAACATAATGCTTTGCCATTGCCTTCTCTACATATTAGAGGTCAAAACATTGGTAATTATTTATTAATATCTCATCTTTCCCATTTATTCATTTCAATAATATTTTTCAGTTAAAGTGTTATTTGGTCGTGAAACGTCTGGTTCAATCGACAAAAGATATTTACTTCCTGTATCTAAATTTTCTAATSTAGAGTTTCATGGAAGAGTTCTTGGCCATTTAACTGCTGTTTACTGTGTCTGTTTTGATACAACTGGAAGATATATAGCCACTGTAAGTTACACATTAACACAATTTTATATTATTTAAATTTTTTTTTTTTTAATTTCAGGGAGCTGATGATTATTTAGTTAAATTGTGGGAGGCTAATACAGGAAGACTTTTATCAACATTAAGAGGGGCTAGTGCTGAAATAACAG